CGAACTTCAGGAGTTTCAGACTCTATTTGTTCTTGCTCTTCATGCTCTAGTACAGCTTCAAAAGAAGCATGATTCTGAGTATTTTCTACATGGACTGCTGTAGTCTCCTTTAGAATGCTATTATGTTCTTCCATTTGCATTTTACCTTCTGCAAATATGACATCTCTGTTGATCACTACCTTGTGGGCAGTGGGATCCCACAAGCGATAACCCTTCACTCCATCAGCATATCCCAAAAATACACATTTTCTGGATTTTGAATCCAGCTTGCTAACTTCTTGTGTATTGTACATCACGTACACAGGACTTCCAAATATATGCAATCGAGAATAATCAGCTGGTTTTCCAGTCCACATCTCCATCGGTGTCTTCAGCTCAATTGAGGTTGATGGAGATTGATTTATCACATAACAGGCGGTATTGACTGCTTCTGCCCAGAATGACTTTCCTAGACCTGCAGCCTTCAACATTGCTCTTGTTCTTTCTAATAGAGTTCTGTTCATCCGCTCTGCCACTCCATTTTGTTGTGGAGTGTATGCCGTTGTGAACTGCCTTTTGATACCTTCATGTTGACAAAAGTTATCAAATTCATCACTGGTATATTCTCCTCCATTGTTAGTCCTCAAACACTTGATCTTATTTTCAGATTCAAGTTCCACCCGCGCTTTGAAAGTTTTAAAGACTATAAGCACATCTGTCTTTCTTCTAATTGGATACACCCAACATCTCCTAGAGAAGTCATCTATGAATGATACAAAGTATCTTGCTCCTCCCAAGGATACAACCGGTGCTTGCCAAACATCAGAGTGAATCAAGTCTAAGATGCATTTGCTCTTAGTTGTAGATGTGCCAAACTTCAACCTGTGTTGTTTACTTGTAACACAGTGCTCACAAAAAGGTAAAGTAACCTTTGTAAGCCCAGGGAGTAACTTCTGATCAGAGAGAACCTTTAAACCTTTTTCTGACATGTGATCTAGTTTTTGATGCCACATCATCATCTTCTCTTCTGCAGGACTAGCTGATGTGATTGACGCTTCTGCCTCATGATGTGTTTCTCCCATTAATGCAAATACATTTGCAACTGTCTTTCTTGCCTTTAAAACCACCAGCGCTCCTTTGATGATTTTCATGATTCCATTTTCTGTTCGGATCTTACAGCCAAGACTATCAAATTATCCTATGGACAAAAGATTCTTCTTTAAGTCTTTCACATGTCGTACTTCTAAAATAGTACGAATTAAGCCATCATACATCTTCAATTTGATGGTGCCAATGCCAACAATCTCTAAAGCATGATTATCACCCATGAATACTTTGCCTCCAGAGATAGGTTTATATGTATGGAACCAATCTCGATTAGGAGTCATATGCCATGTTGCTCCTGAATCTATTAGCCAGACCTCAGTGAGCTCTTCTGTATCTGTAGAGATTGTCGCTGCTGCACTATATAAAACATCTCCATCTTCTGAGGTGCTCGCAACACACCCTTGAGATTTTGATGACTTTGCAGAATTCTCTATACCCTTTTTAAACCAACAATCCTTTTTGAAGTGCCCCTTTTTGCCACAGTTGTAGCATTTCACAGCCTTCTTACTTCTTGATTTGGACCTCCCCTGCCTTTGACTCCCACTAGAGCCACACTCCGTTGATCTTCCTCTTGACACCAACAATGCCTCTGCTTGGTTTGAACTGTTTCTGTCTCCTTTGTTTTTGCGCCTATTTTCTTCTTCCAAGATAGCGGCTGCAACATCATTGAAGACTAGATAATCTGAGAGGATATTATTTGTCAAGTTGATAATGAGCTGATCATACGAATCAGGAAGACTTTGAAGTAGAAGCTCTGCACGTTCATTTTCCTCTATTTGCTGACCCAATGTAGTGAGTTGTGAAAATAGAGTTCTTATTATGTTGATATGGTCAGTCACCGATGTGGTTTCTGCCATTCGAAGGGTATAAAGTCTCCGTTTTAAGAAAATCTTATTGTGCAAAGACTTGGACTCGTATAGCTTTGTTAGAGTCTCTCATATCTCCTTAGTTGTTTTCTTCTCCGCCACACTTGATAATACTTCATCGGCTAATGCTAAATGTATGTTAGCAATAGCATTGCCATCCATCTCATTCCATTTTGCATTATCAGTGATCTCCGCGGGCCGATCCCCAATTGCTGCCAAGCAATTGTCTTTCCTTAAAATTGCCTTGATTCTCATTTTCCACAATGAGAAATTGCTCCCATTAAACCTCTCAATCTCGTACTTTGTTGTCATTGTATTCACCAAGATCTATTCAGCTATCACCGTTTCACAGATCTGTAACGTATATAGAAATAGTATCGTGTGAATGATACTTCACTAAGTAAGTTCTCAGGAAAGATTGGAGGGGTCACAAACGGTCCCGCTTAAAACTCAATCTCCTTAGACAGAACTTCCTAGACTGTATTTAATCACCGCACTGACTTTCTATATACGCCAATAGCAATGTATGTGAACAGTACCGTATGGATGAATAGTGCCGTATAGGTGAATAGTGTCGTATACGTGAATAGTACCCGTATACACGAATAACTTTTGTGTATTAACAACACCAACCAGGAGGCTCTGATACCACTGTTAGGATGCTGGCATGCAAACCCGACAAGATAAAAGATAAGAGACCGGATAAAATGAGAAATGGAACACACAAGAATTTACGTGGTTCACCCAATTGGGCTACGTCCACAGACAAGTATAGAAGGATTTTACTAAGTAATATGGGAATTACAACCTCTCTCGAATAATAGGAGAACAACTAAGAATCTCTCTATTATTAGGAGAAAACACCTCACTTACTCTATCACAAATACCTCACAATTTTGTGGGATTACTCTCTCTTCACTCTCTTCTTCTTCTCTCTATTTTGGTGTGCATATAGGCTTGAATGCATTGCCTATTTATAGGCAAGAGTGAGGGTATAATGGTCATAAATTTAGGAGGAATATATGCCTAACAACTCATCCTCCACTCATACTCCACCAATTACAACTTATCTCCCACTCAAATCCCATCAATTATGCCACCTAATTAAATGGCTTTACAACCTCACATGGCACTTGTGACATCACAGTTCAAAGCTAAAAATCAATCAAAAGGTGAGCAACATTGCCAGTAAAAAGGTAAAACTAAGCTCTCTTTTTCCTAACCAATGCTGGTATATATCCTGCCATGTCTAGGTCTCTTGGAAGATTTTGGAATCAGCCCACGCAAACTGCATAGCACACCAAGACCCAAAAGGGAAAAATGCATCATCAATAAAATATCAGATGCCTTGCCAGATCCCGACAGCTCTGCTAATATAGCAGCCTGTCAATTTACACAACAAAAGATTAAGATTAAAGAAAAGAAAATCAGTAATCAAATCAACAATATCATTTTGTGAGTTTGTTTACCATGGAGGTGAGAAGGGAGGCGCTGCAGGTGAAGCCAAGTGGTGTTAAACCAAGATTTGGAAGCCAAACGAGCATACAAATTGAGGAGAGCGAGAGGCCATTGAAAGAGAAGCTCTAACCAGACAATACCAACGAAAACAATTATTGGTCAAACATAGTAAATCTTTATCATTTGACACTGGTTGTTGTTTTTAGCCAGTAATTATTCCAATATTCTAAATTGCTAATGACCTAAGAACATGTAGATTACAACGTATTTACCATATATATATAATAAACACATTTCTGCTTAAATTCGAAGTTCGGCTTTAACTACATGGCCTTCAAAGAGAACCCCCGACATGCGTTGCCCATTTTCCAATTTTTCATCACCTTGACCAATCCAATTAATTTGGCAGAGAGCACCATCTCCAAAGTCGTATATCGATGCTATGTATAGAAGCAATAACTCTCTATTTTTACAAAAATGGCAGACATGATGCAAATCATGCACCACCAACACTGGAATGGAAAACATTTTACTCAAACCACTTCAGTCACTTGCAATTTAGCCTTTGAAGAATTCAAAAGGAGTTTAGAAAGCTGCATTAGTACTCAACTTTTATCCTGTCAAACGGGTTAGATTCTAGTCTTCTTGGACTAGTCTTTTTAATTCTAGTTATAATATGATGATGATACCATATCAAATGGGAACCTGTCAGTTGGTTATACACCATTTTGGATAGTAAATATACTCTATTTAGGTTATTGTTATATTATTATATTTACCTCGTGAAGATCTTCTAATAATACCAATAATATTATAATAAAAATTTATATGTATCTTCGAGATTTTTTTTTTCTCTTCTCTTTTCTATTCATATAATTTATTTTTTAAAATTATTTATATAATTTATTTTTTAAGATATTATTTTAAATAGTGATAAGTTATAAAAATTATATTTCTTAATTTCAACATGTTTAAACTAGGTTATTTCATTATTTTTAAAAAATATGTTGTTTCGTCAAATGTTTTAAAAAATATACTAAAAATCAAAACTAGCCAATGAGAGGGTGCATTCCACGCGTTTATGAGAAATGTACAGATGCCAAATACTTTTTTCTTGTCAGATTATTTTTTTTGGCTGAGTCTAGATTTTAATACTTACATTACAAATTAACCCACTTCTAGCGTTCGCTACATTATGGTAATTGATTTGAAGTATTTCAATAATTAAAAGTTATATATTGAGATGCAATTATTATGATTAGAATTTTGGTATCATCATTATATTATAATCATACCATAAAACATAAGTAAAAGTTTGTAATGATAACTTTTAAAAATGATATATTAAAATATATGGACCGAGAATTTATGAAATACTAAACACTAAAATTCACAAATACTCTCTACTACTTTTCATATTTTTTTTTTTGCGCCTAAAAGTATAATATTTTTATTTTTATTTTTATTTTTTATCTTATGTTGTTCTTTTCCACTCATTTTCTCTTATTATTCTTTACTATTTTCAAGTTTACTCAAAATAAAACATTTAATTTACTATATATATCAGGATAAAAATGGAATGACATTAAAAAAAAACAAACCCATCATCAATCAATTATTTTTACATATGAAAACTTATGCAAACACAATTAGTAATAGTATAATTTATCAGACAAAAACAGAAACAAGGAAATGCAGACTGCGAAAAGGCAGAACAACATTCTCTCCCCTCGATACTACAAAGACAATCACCCATCTATCACTGCAGCCACATGAATAGCATCAAATTTAGAATTCAAATCGAGGGGAAAAAGACAAGGAAGAGCATCAAATTTAGAATTCAAATCGAGGGGCAAAAGACAAGGAAGAAAGAAAAGAAAAGAAGCTTTATTTATCTAATATACTCAATCTTTAACCCATCAACTGTCGTGGTGATGCAGCCTTCACTCCTCGGCAACAATGTCACCCATATGTATTCATCTCCTTCTGCCTCCAAATCTTCTAACAGTTCCGAGATCCCCAACTTAAGATCAGTCTTCTTTCTGAAAACTTCAATATCGCTCTCCCTTGCTACCCTGGTCACGCCCTGATCAATGTGAACAAAGGTTCCTGCAAATTCCCTGAACCTCGGATTCATAATCGTCTCATTAACGACATTAACATAAACATCAAACTTAACATATCTTTCCTCTGGGATATCAATTCCATGCACAACCAGGATCTCTTCCTCTTCTTCCTTCTCTTTTTTGGTTCTTCGGACTTTTGGCCTATTGACCCTTGTTCTTAAGGTAGCGTCTAGAAATCGGCCATGGGGACTGAAGTTAGAGGATAGAATGTCGTTCCGTTGAAGTTGCTGCTGCTTCGCATTTTGCCTCATCCTTAGTATGTTACGGGCGACTTCTAGTGGAACAGAAGGCTTAGGACGGTTATTAAGCCATGTGAAATCGACCTTCTCATACGCATATTGCAGCTTTGTGATACTCAGCACATCACGAATTTTGATTCTATTGAGCTGCAATTTCTCGTCATAAAAGAAAAAGGAAGAGTCTAGCCAATCAGGATCAGTGATAACCTTGTTCCCATGGAGCGTCCTCCAAACGTCCCAAAGACGATCGATATTGGCATGGTGTGGATAGAAAATAGGGTCTCTTGCAGCAGAGTAAAAGACACCCATATCCTCCCTGCTTCCCGGATTCAAATTGCTCCCTACCCACTTGTGCACAGTGTTGTGAGGGGCTAGTTCTATGGTGCCAGGCCCATTGCAAGACCCTCCCTCCCCTGCCTTATAAGGGCAGCCCATGAAGAGTTCCATCTTCTTTGCACCTGCTACCATTTGGTTATACATCAGCACCAAGTTGGTGTGAACTTGGTCTTCAGGTCCTAACCCACTCTCGAAGCATCTGTAGTCTTCACTGCTAGGCGTAGTACAACTGTAGTCTAAATCAACCACACTTGGTGGAAAGTGAGAAAAGTCACGTGCTTCATGGAAAAATGGAGCCTTCATGTACATTTCAGGAATTACCATTCCTTCAGGAATGTCCCAAGGCCAGAAAGGCAAAGCAAATGTGTCATCGCCTATGAGACTTCCAAGGATACGTTCGTGGAAATAGATCAACATACGGTGCCAGGGAAAGAACAGCCATGATCTGTGGATGTTAAGTGGAGAATTGGAGCCCTGCTGGTTATATGCTCCTGTGCAGAACAGACAGTGCAAATTGGCTTGACGAGTATAACTCCGGGGATCAGTGTCTGGAAGAGACTTCATTATGGTTATAGCCTTCTTGTACTTGGAAATATAGTTGTCGTCGAGGAGATGGGTTGGCCGTCGTACACGCAAAGGCAATGAAGGATCAGGAAATTGGAAATCAATAATAGCAACATTTGATTGATTCATTGGTGGGCAGCAGTAAACAGGAAGATCAGAGCGACCCATAGATTCATGGCACGATGTTAAATTTGGCAAAATAACTAGAGGTTTTTCCTGTTGTTCCTTCCCCGGAGACGAGGCTACTTTTAGCATGGCTGGGATTATGAAATTGAATTCCCTGCAGGTATTAGCAACTTATTAGAGATTTTGCATTCAGAAAGCATGTAGTCGAACAACCAACAATAAAACGAAAATAAAGGAAGAGTGACATTGCATTAGCTAAATGAGAGAAAGTGGCTTGATGTGACGAGCACAATTAAACAAGAAGAAGAAAAACCTACCCCAAGAGCGCATGCTGGACTTCCGGTGCTTCAAGGATATAAAGAATCCGAGTAAAAGCTGCCACAGTAGTGATTATGCCGAGCACCAGGCCCAATTTCTTTGCTTCCATGCTCGGAAAATCCTACGCTCCTCCCAGTATGCTCTAACCTTTCAAACAAAAAAATAATAATTGATGAGGGGGTATTAACGTTACCCGGACCATGCCTCTTTAATGCAATACACATGCAATTCTGCCTTGACTGAGATAGAAGTAGATAAGTCAGAGGCTATATAAAAAATCAAGAAGAAAAGATAACAAGGTTTAGCAATTTAAGTCCTCAAATTTATGCACAAAGAGAAACAAATTAAACGCATGCAGGGTTAACTTTTGGACTGTAGTCTAAGATTACTATCAATTTTTTTTGCCTTTTTTGGATAAAGAACACAATTAAGTTGCCGGGACCTTAGTTTATGTACAACTTGTCTGCATCAGTACAGGCATCCAATTTATCATTAATTATAATGACCCGCCTGCGCATTTATGGGATCCACCAAGAGCTCCTTTCCCTCACGAATCTATCCGAAACAATTTTGTGTGGTAGTGTCCTCGTAAGTGCTGTATAAATGTTGAGTGCGTATTCTATCACGACCGCTAATTTTGTCGGCATAACAAGTGTCGGATTCCGAGCCACGCGGCGATCAACTGTACTGTTAATCGAAGCAAGACCAGGACGGCTGAGAAAATAATGGTTACAAGTGTTTTCAAACTCGATCCGGCTCAAGCCTTAAGTTAATTTTAATTTATTTATAAATAAAATAATATTATTTTGATAAAATAATTATTTTATAAGTTGCGATTGATTTTATAACTAGATCTTATTCGGTCAATTGGGTCATTAAGTCAATTGATTGGGTCAGTCAGGTTTTAAACTGTCCTAATTTTTTTTTAAACTCGATCTAGTTCTAATCTCAGGCTAACCGGGTTAAGAAGTGATCCCCTTAGCTAAATTTCAAAACTATGGTAAAAACCAGGAACAAATCATTATGTAATTTTCTTCTTTGAAACATCATAGATATAGAAAAACATGTTATTCATTAATGGCAACAAAATAATGTAATCATACAATGGAATGAACTTAACTAAGCATGGATAATTAATTAAAATTTATAAATACATATAAAAATAAATATGATGTATAAACATATTTTTTTAAACTAATTTGAAAAACAATTCTTTGTTTAAAAAGTTAGAGACATGATGATAATTCAATAATAGGTGGGTAGGACTTGCATTCATACCAAATAACCCAAGGTTTGACAGAATGTTAAACCCAAATGATATAGGCTTAACTCAGTTCCAAGCCCAACATCCTGGGGTGTGAATATTAATGAAGCCCAAGTTGGCAATGGTCTGACGAGTTGTCAAACACAACTTTTTTTTGTTCAACCATGTGCTGAGCAAGATGAGATGTATGTTTGGTGAATTACTATACCTAATATCCTTGAGTTCAGTTATATGCTGAGCACATGAGGATATGGGTCTAGTAAGCTTTCAGGTCCAACATCTTTGGAGGAAAGAAAAATTGAAAGTGGCTAGTTAAAGAGCACATAACATACCTCGAGATATATAACTTCGCTGAATGTCTTCCTTGCAAAAATCTTTACAGCTATTATAGGGAAAGATTTTGTTCAATATTCACCCTTATAAAAACACCTTCACTTGCATGCTCCTCTAAAAAGTTTTGATTGTTCTATAAGGACAAATGGTGTGATAATCAATACTCCTTCATATTGAAAAAAAAAAAAGATTGAGTGGTTGATTGCCAAGGATTATCTTAAACAATTTGTAAAGGGGTATGTCTATATTGAACAAGATACAAAAAAGCCTAGCCAACCTATTTAAGCCCTTCCTGAGGTCACTATGATTTTAGAGGACACCTCAACAGGGAACTGTACTTCTAATGAAAATAGAAAGTATGGAAAACAAGTTCTAACGATGGCTCACCAACAAAATTCATAGCATGAGCCTATCACTTTTACTCCAAAAGATGAATAGGAGTAACTTACCCTAATAATGATGCATTGCTAATTTAAATAGTTCTAGCTAATTATCGAGTCCATATGGTATTGGTGGATGATGAAAGCTCAATTAACATCATTTTCAAGGATATGATGTCGTAAATAGGGATAGATTCCTCTAGCTTGATTCTTGTGAAGACCTTTTTTTATTGTGATTAAATAGTCAAGAGTGCTAGTGAAAGGTGCCTTTGAGATCTCAATCACAAATGGCACTAACCCAGAGTGTCTTACTCTTCAACAGACCTTTAAGATGATAGATATAGCTTTAGCCTACAACATCATAATAGAAAGACTTCTTTTAAAAATTATCAAGGCAACAATTAACACTTAGATATTTGGTCTTGAAATTTTCCACTTCGAAAAGGGTGGATATTATGAGATGGAATCATGGGGTCTCTAAGCATTGTGCCTCTACATGTTTGAAAGGCAAAAAGTCTTTGGTTTTGAACCAGTAAGGGACTTTGAAGCATAGTTTTTAAACCCGGCCCGGTGGCTGACCCGGTCCAAGGCCCGGGTTCCGGGTTTTGACCGGGTCACCGGGTTTTGACCGGGTCGAACAGGTCGGCCGGGTCAATTTCTATTTTAAAAAAAATTCAAAACGACGTCGTTTTAATAAAAAAATAAATAAAAGTCAACGGGTTACCACCGGGTTTTTCCGGGTCGGCCGGGTCACGCCGGGTCATGGCTTACCTGATTTTTTCATCAACTCGGCCCGGTTCCAGCCCCGGGTCGGCCGGGTCCCGAGTCAACCCGCCGGGCCGGGTTTTAAAACTATGCTTTGAAGGAAAGGTTAGAGATTAAAACCAAGGCCACAAAGTAGTTAAGAGAAGTAACTTTAAGGGAAGAGAAGGGAGTTACGAAGATACGTTTCATATTGGAGCCAAATCAATCGTAATAATTGATAGATTTTCTCCTTGCTCGTAACTTTAATTTTTTTGACAATTTAGTTATGTCATGTGTAACATATGTAAACCATTTAGAAGTATAATTTTATATAAGAAAATATAGTACAATTAAAATTGCACACCCATCATCATCGATAAAAATTAAAGAAATAGTGGATGAGATTTATGAAATTCTAATAAAGCCTTTACTAACTGAAGAGCCTAAAAGAAAGAGGAAAATCTCTCTTAATGAGTGAAACGACAGTAAGAAACAATTCTAAAAAAGTGACAATCTAGGCAACTATCCAGAGATTATTAACACACTAGATATAAGAATAGATATTAGAGGAATAAAAAACAAAAGGATAGATATATAAACAAATGGCTATAATACAATAATTAGGGCTTTTGAAGGTACACAAACAATTAGAAAAGGACAATGTAAGACAGAAGTCACAAAAAAGTCCAAGTGTTTAGGAAAATAAAAGGAAATATAAAGAGTCTAACCAGCTAGAAGAAGTAAACATTGGAGAAGAATTTGAGAAAAACATAACTTACATCAATGCTTGGTTAAGACTAGAGGAAAAGTAATAGAGAGTGTTTTGCTTGGGACTATAAAAATATGTTAGGATTGAATAGAGAGTTTTAAAACTTAAGATCCTAACATATAAAGGCATCAGACCAGTAATCCAAAGTCAAATAAGGATTTCTCCAGAGTTGGTGCCCAACATCAAGGAAGAAATACAGAAATTTCTCAAAGGTAAGGCCAAGCATGTAAAATGGTTTTTTATTATAGTCCTAGTGTTGAACAAAAAAGAAAAACTACAGTTTATATAGATTTTAGAGAGCTAAATAAAGCTACACCAAAAGATGAGTATCACGTACTTATAATGGATGTCATAGCTAAATATAAAATATTTTCCATAATGGATGGATATTTTGAATATAACTAGATTCTCGTTATAAAAGAGGATATCCATAAAATTGCATTCAGATGTCCAGATTTGATTAAAGCATATTAATGGGTAATGATGCATGATGGGTTAAAAAACAAAAGAGCTATATATCAGAGGTTTGATTGGAGCATATGAATGGGCAATGATGCATATTGGGTTGAAAAACATAAGAGCTACATATCATAGGGCTATGGATATTTTTCATGATTTGATTGGTAAAAAATTAGAAGTCTGCATTGATGATGTGGTGATTAAGTCAAATGAATTTAGAGAATATATGCATAACTTACAAGAAATTTTTGATAGAATAAAGAAATCTAATTTAAAAATGAATCCATTAAAATATGCTTTTGGAGTTTCAGTAGGGAATTTTTTAGGATTTTTTATTTATAATAAAAGATAGAAGTTAAGAGAAATAAAGCACAAAAAAATTATAAAAGCAAAACCTCATATAAATAGGAAAGAATTCTTGAACTTTTATGATTTATTAAGTTATTTAAAAAGATTTTTTGTTAACCTTGCAGGAACAATCAAAGTATTCACACTTCTACTTAAGCTCAAGTTAGAAAGAAAGTTTGAATTGGGAGAAGAATATTAAGATGCATTTAACAAGATTAAAGAATATATTATTAATCCATCAGTGTTACTTCCTCTAAAATATAAGAAATTACTGAAGTTATACATTACGACAACAAAAAATTCAATTGGAAGTTTTTTAGCTCAAGATAATGAAAGGGATCAAGAGCAAACTATATTTTACTTGAGTGGGGTCTTGATAAATATAGAACATAGATATTTTTCAATTAAAAAATTATATTTATCCTTGTATTATTTTATTACTAAGCTCAAATATTATATGATATCACATTCTATCTGTATTTTAGCACAAACTAATGTTATTAAGTATATGCTAAGCATGTCATTCTTGAATGGAATGATCAATAAGTGGAGTCTAGTTTTGGTTAAGCATGATTTAATTTATGTACCCTAAAAATTTGTTAAATGACAAGCTTTAGTTAACTTTCTTGTAGACCACCCTTCAATGAATACTGAAATATTCAAATAAAAAAGTCAAGTTGTAGGAATAGTCTTATGACAATTATATTTTGATGATTCCAGTACATCTTACAACTGTAGAATAGAGGTTGTCATCATATCTCCTAAAGGAATTGCAACTAAGATGTGTTCCCAATTGCAAGTAAAATGCACTAATAATATAGCTAAGTATGAAGCCTTAATAGTTGGTCTTACATTCATGGAAATTACAAAGTAAAAATCATAAGGTATTTTTAACTAGTAATAAATCAAATCACAAAAAAACTTTAAATATTAGAATAATTCTTCATAACATGTTTGTGTAAAGCAGAAGAACTACCATATCAATTTGATAATGTAATTGTTAAACAAATTTCAAGGGAGCAAAATGATAAGGCAAATGAATTGAAACAATTAATATCAAGATATAAATGTTCTCTATTATTATTTAAGACCATGGCTTATATGTTATAAAACCTACTTCCTTTGATTTTAGAAAAAGGAAAAATATATGAAATAAACATGTTGAATATGATGTTGAAAGAAGATTTGGTAATTCTAATAAGAAAATGCCTAGAAAACCCACATCAATACTCTAGGGATAAAACTTTGAAATTAAATTCATTGAATTATACACTACTTAATAGGAAAATGTATAAAAAAAAAAGTTTAGAGTACTACTAAAAAATGTTGGAGTTGAGGAAGCTATTACCATTATAGCAACATACACTATGTTGGAGTTGAGGAAGCTATTACTATACACTCTTGAATATGTAGATCTCATTTTTCTCAAACTAAAATGGTACATGTAATATAGAAAATAAGATATTATAGGTCTAAGATGAAACACGAATGCAATACCTACGTGAAAAGAGTATAAACCATGTCAAAAGCAGGGATATTTACTTAAGATACTAGCTACTAAGTTGCACTCTATAATAAAAATTTGGTCATTTAAAGGTTGGACGATGAATTTAAATTTAGAAATTTATATCCATTCTAGCAAAAACCATGCATATGTGTGAGTGGTCATGGATTATTTTACAAAATAGATGGAAGCTATATCTATAAAGAAAATAAATCAAGTTGAGATTAAAATTAGATATTTTCACAAATGTTGATTATAGTGAATTGACCAAAAACAAAGTACTAAAAAAACACAAATTTCAAATGGTTTTTCAACTCTCAAAAAAAAATAATTAGGTAAATCATCGATCGTGTGCATCCACTTATACATGCTTTAAGACCCTAAGATGAAAAAATTACACATTATTTAAATATAATTAGGTTTGTTCAACTAATCAAATTTTACTTGGTTAATTATTTATCCAATTCAAATATAAATATAATCCCAATGAATTCTCAAATTAATAAATTTTTTTAATTAACTCATGATAAAGAACTGAATTTGACAACTTAGCTATGGAAAACAGTGTACTAAAAAGAATGGTTTAACTGCCAAGATAGTAAGCATTCTTCCAGCTAATTCCAGAGGATCATTAACCATTTAATCTAAAATTAGATTTAGATTATCATGATTAGAAAGAAGCTTGAAGCTTTGTAATTATTATTTTTAAAAAAGAAGGATACTTGATATTTCAAAACCTAAATTATTTGTTGCACTACTCCAAATGATGTGCCATAAAATGGGTAGATACATAATAGCAAATGAATCAATACCGATTAACAGGCCAAATGCTCATTAATCCCCAAATTTACTACGGCTGCAAGCCTTCCAAAATTTCCCACAAGAACCCACGAATGACAAAACAACCCACTTGATCATAGACAGATTCTCCAACCAAATACAGAAACATCGTCATGCACACATCACAATTTGCTCACTGTCTAAGTGTATTTCTGTAATTTCACACATTCATTCTCTCACTATGATTTGTGATCCAGTGACTCTCAACCCCCTCCGCAACTTTAAAATTTTCCCCTTTATCAAATCTCTTTTGACACTTGAAGACAGCAATTTCTGCTTATAATTCTCCAGACAGAGAATTTAAGTAATGGCAACGAAAAGCAAGATTTTGTTCATTGGAGGGACAGGATACATAGGAAAATTCATCGTGGAAGCTAGTGCTAAGGCAGGCCATCCTACTTCTGTTCTTGTCAGGGACTCCACTCTCTCTAACCCTGCTAAATCCAATGTCATTGACAACTTCAAGAATCTTGGGGTCAATTTCCTCATTGTAAGTGTATCTTTTTTTCCTTCGCTTTTCTTCTTGGGGTTACAAGGGTTTCCTTAATTCTTTAACGTGGGCATGTGCCACCAGCTAGCTATCCCATTTTTTCGCTACTCGTTGGACCGGTGATTCATATAATAAAAATTTATGTTCCCTAGGGATGATTTTTTGAAAAATCCATGTCATAAATGAGAAATTCTTATATATTATGGGAGCAGATTAACTAATAATTTTGTCTCGATTTATTAGTTGTTACTGCAACAAGTTATAATAATAGGGTTCGTCTCCAATTAAACTGTTTTTTTTTTCCTGGAAAAAGAAAGTGTGAAACTGGGAAATTTTAACATTTATTTATACTTGCTTTTGTGTTTTCGGTTTTGAAGGGAGATTTGTTTGATCATGAGAGTTTGGTGAAGGCTATAAAGCAAGTGGATGTGGTGATCTCTACAGTGGGTCATGCTCAGTTAGTTGAGCAAGACAGGATCATTGCTGCTATTAAAGAAGCTGGAAATGTTAAGGTATTTGTAACGTAGTTAACTTTGTCTGAGTGATCATGAGTTGATGCTTAATTGACATGTGTTTTTCCTGTCTGGATTGGGGTTTGAAAATTCCCAAGTTTATGAATTATGTGCTTGTAATGAAAATTGTTGTTTTTCTGCAGAGATTTTTCCCATCAGAGTTTGGAAATGATGTGGATAGAGTGCATGCTGTTGAGCCAGCAAAATCAGCATTTGCTACGAAGGGAGAAGAGCTATTGAGGCTCAAGAAATTCCGTTCACCTATGTATCTTCCAACTTTTTTTCTGGCTATTTCCTTCCTTCTTTGAACCAGCCTGGAGCTACTGCTCCTCCAAGAGATAAAGTTGTCATCGTAGGTGATGGAAATCCTAAAGGTAGTGTGTCACAAATTGTGTTGAATTTTCCTGTGATGGAATTAAATTCTTGATGTCTCTTGTTTATTTCAGCAGACCCTCCATAGATTTTGGATGATGGTCTGCTAAAATTGCAAAGGCCATGCAACTGTTTTAATCAAAGTAGGCACTAGCCTACCAAGTGCTCTTTTTGGTAATGGACTCCAATATCTAAGCATGTGAAAAGCTTGATGATGAATGCATCGAATGAATTTACAGTTCACGTTTTGATCTGCAGCTGTTTTCAACAAAGAAGATGACATTGCCACCTATACTATCAAAGCAGTAGATGATCCCAGAACCGTGAACAAAATTCTCTACATTAGACCCCCAGCCAACACTATCTCATTCAATGACCTTGTCTCCTTATGGGAGAAGAAGATTGGGAAAACCCTTGAAAGGATCTATGTTCCAGAGGAACAACTTCTTAAAAATATCCGAGGTAAGGATATCATTTCACTAGCTTGTAAGTTAGCAGATATGACATAGGCAGGAAAATCTCTTCGATTTACAAGCATCTATTTACACTTCTGTCAACCTAGGTACATCTGATAGATAACATTACTTCATCACTAGCATGACATTTTCTTAATAAATCTGCCCATGAGGTGGATATAATCACGATGAAATAGTTCAATCATTTTTAACGAGTTTGAGTAACTGTTAGCAAATTTTGGCGTTGCTTGTCTTCTCTTTATTCATTATTTTTTCTTCTTTTTTTGTTATTTAATTTTGCAGAAGCTTCAGTTCCATTAAATGTAATTTTATCAATCCATCACTCAGTGTTCGTGAAGGGAGATCATACCAACTTCGAGATTGAACCATCATTCGGTGTAGAGGCTTCAGAGCTTTATTCTGATGTCAAATACACTACTGTGGATGAATACCTGAATCAATTTGTCTGAGTGTTCTACGTCAAGCGGCATTACCTTAATAAATAATCATGTAGATGGTCGTAATAGTTGCACTTATATACGTTATTAAATTACCACCAAGAGTGGACATCTTGTGGACCAGCTGGGGATTTACTTTCTGTATAATTATTTCACTATCTAAAGTAATATCTTTTTGCCTATAAGGTTTTGCTTTTTTATATATGTTTTTTTAATAATCTTTAATGTCATATTTCAATTAATATCCCTTCTAGCTCATTTTTTATTTTTTGTATTTAACCTTTTTATTATGTTGTATGTATTTAATTTTTGAAGAAATTATTCTAATTCGTCTATAATTTTGTATGCATTTTATTTTTAAATATAAACTTTGGATGGAATTTTGAAATTGATGAAAATTTAATTGGGAAAACAAATGTAATTTATAATAAAATAAATAAATAAATAAAAATGAGTAACAATATTTTTATAAACTCCCGGCTATTATGGGATTGATAATAATCTCGGGAGTTTGGAGTAAAATGCTATGTATGGGTCAAAAAAATAAAAAACAAAAATACCTGAAAAACAGAGAAACACATAAACACGAATAAAAATATAATGGAAGTGATTTATACAGAATTCTAATTACCAGGATGTAACTAAATAAAATGGAAAATAAACTAAATAAGAATTTATTATAAATAGATGTCAGGATCTGAAAATTTTATCTAGAAAACATAAAAAGGTAGTATTATGGGACATAGTGAAAATTTAACAAATTTTATATATATAATGGCTGGTCTTGAAGAGAAAAAGGATGAGATGAAAGAAAAATTTGTTATCCTGCTTAGAAAAGTGACAGAAACCCTTATGAAAACATAAAAATTAAGAGAAAATCTTGTCAAAACGTGGAATCAAACACTAAATTTGAAAGAAAAAACAAGTGAGGGAGAGTAGAGAGAGAGAGACAGAGAGAGATTGGGTGGCAAAGTGGGAAGGAGAAGAAGAATTGAAAATTTTGATTTTTGGCAAAGTGTCGGAGCCCTAAATCCTTGCATGGTAAAATGTTCTAACACATTTACATAAGTTGGTGTAGATTAATGCTTTAAATTGATTGAACTCTTACAATTGGGATATAGAGTTCTAGGATAAAATTTGGAGGAAATTGAAATTGATTGTAAATTGGTACAATGAGTGATTAAAAGATTAAATAAAGTGAATTTGTTAACATTCAACCGAGAATTTTAGCATGCAGAGATGTTAATGGCTAGCCAAATAGGGAAAAAATGTGGATGTGTTGTCATGTAGTTGGAAGTTATAAATTGGTATGTATTTAATGTGTGTAGTTATAACGATGATGATTTAAAATGAAATTAGAACTTAAATGCTGGTGGTGAAGAAAATTTGATTATGTTGCGTTAGAAACTTTACTAACCTTGATAATCTATCTTTGAGAAAGAATTGTGTTGGTTGCGTTAGAAACTTTACTAACCTTGATATATCTTTGAGAAAGAATTGTGTTTATAGTAGACTTACTAAGTGAGATATATGGTATATTTTAGAGTTCAAGATGAAAACAATGAAATGATGAAGAGAATAAATAAAAATTAGTTATTTATAGTGAGAGTTTAGTTATGAAAAGAAAGTTGTTTGGAGTGCACTAGCATATTAAACAATGTAGAAAATGTTTTTGGTAGGAAAAAATGAGGAAATAAAATAAAAGAGTAAAATTTTTAGAATGATTTGGTGATTAATTGAAAAATTATATGTTGAATCAAAATAAAGAATTTTTATTATGTGCATCTTGAATGTAGGCACATTGAAATTATTGATAGGTTAATAATGTGATGAAATCTTATTAATTCAAGAGAAATTACTAAAACAGGATCTTTATCAAGAGAAGTTATATTATCTTAATAGTAGTAAGGTGTTGAACACTTTAGAGTTATACATTTACTCTTTAAAGAATTTTTAAGTTAAAATACATTTTAAATATTATCTTTATAATTTGATTAGGTCAATATATTCTTAAATGTTGAAACTAGTTCCTAGTTAATGAAATTAGTGCTTTGTTGAATAAACAGATAATAAATCTAGTTCTTTGTTAATGAAACCAGTGTCATGTCATTGATATATATTGAAATTAACTCTTAGTTAATGGAATGAAACTATTGTCATGTTAAATAGACAATTGCTCAAACTAGTTCAGAATAATGAAACTAGTGTTTTGTTGAATGAGTAGATGTTAAAATTATCTCCTAGTTAATGAAATCATTGCATTATCTAATGTGTAGTTGTTGAAACTAGTTCTTGAATGATGAATTGATGTCTTGTTAAATGGATAGATATTAAAATTAGATCTTGATTAATTAAAAAAAAATTCTAGTTGACTAGACAGCTACTAAAATTAGCTTTGGATAATAAAATTAATACCTCATTTATGGCTAGTCTTACAAGTCAATTTCTTAATTAAAGAAATTAAGGTTAAATGGACAAAGAATTAAATTCTTGGGTTATTATGTTTGTTTATTGAATATTTAAAATTTTGAAAATTTGAGTAACGTTAAAAAAAAATTATTTAGAATGTGAATAATTTTACTTAAATATTATTAAAATATCTATAAATGATTTAATGATGAACTGATACATGTTAATCTGTATTTACATTTCAGGATCTGTTTTGAAATGTGCAAATTAGAGAGCTTAAGATTATTACTTTTTGTGTTATGACTATGTAGAAAAGAAAGACTACATTTTGTATGTAATTTATACATTTTTTTGTTATATATGTAGGAAAGAAAATCTTCATATTTTGTATGTCATATACTTAATTATACTTAATTGACCAAACCTTAGAATTTCCTTTTCAAGTATTAGATTAATATATTAGGTGATGTTAAGTAATTTAAATTCCAACTTTCTTAGTTTATTTGTTAGTATATTGTGTGTGTGTTTTAGATTTGATAAATTTTAATTAATTGAATTGATAATATGTCATCTTTGAATAGTTTCAATAAATCTTGTCATGAATATAATTTGTGTTGAGAATCTTGATTAAAGACATACAGGTTTTGTTGATGCAAGAAACTCTAACAAATTCTTTGTAGAATTTTCAATGGGGATTTAAATGGAAAAAAGCATTTCCAGCTTTTCCTATAATTATTTAGTGATTATTTGAATTTTGTATTACAAAATATTGAGAATATTACATTAAAAATAAAATTTATTTATTTATTTTTTAGTATTTCGAATAAGTATAACTTGCGATACATGTTTTCCCTTTGATTTGATATCTTTGTGGGAGAAGATTGGTAAAACCCTGGAAAGGACCTATGTGCCGGAGCAGCAACTTTTGCAGACATTCAAGGTATGAATATAACTGTGATCATCACCCTGTACAGCCAAAAGACCAACTTAAGTGCATTATAGCAGGCAGTGATGCGTTAATGTCTATGCTGCGTTAAACACTAAATGCGCAACCCGCACAAACAATATAAGAGAACAGAGAACATCAATGCACAGATGTAGGACACATTTTACTGAGGAACAGTGGCCCCTTCAGAGTCATTAAATGGAGACACGAGGGTGAATTAATGTCCTGTTTCCACTCACAAGTAGAGCACGCTACAAGAGCTTTATACCTCCAAAAGTTGTTCAGCATACGCTTGCTCTGCACAGCACATTTCCACTGCTTTGTACTTCCTTCCCTTTAGGTCACAAACCTTTCATAAGCCTGATCAGGGATATCTTCCATTTGTTCATCAAATCTAACAAAAACAATACAATGGATTACAGAATGATTTCAGAGGCTGCATTCCTCAAAATTACATCAGTTGTAGTGCAAATATATTCTGCGTTCCTCATCAGAATCTACATCGCTGGATGAATTATCCTGGCTTTCTTCATGGGTTTCTTCATTGTCACTATCCCTTAAGCCACCATTCTCATCATCATAGTTAGCAGTATCACCAGCTACTGAATCTTCTTTCCCTGAAGTGAAGACGGTGTTTGAGATTGTGGCGTAGTTAAGAAGGCAGTTTCCAGCTAAAATTTAGGTTAGCAATCCCAAATGAGTATTCGGCATTTCAAAATGATAAGTTTTGCTTAAGGATAAAAAAAAAAGAGAGTTTTTCAATTGTCTGAAGAAACAGTTATTGGGATTGTCCATTTCCAGTTCACTGAATCACTTTCTATCACCAAATGCCACTTCAGTTATCGCAGACTCGGATTTAAATAATCCAGCACATAAACAAACTCTGCAACCAAGATAAAAGGAACCAACTTTTTACATTAGATCTACCCTATAGATTATATGCACATTGATGAAGAACCCTTCCTAGCCCAGAAGAAAAATTTGGGGGTGGTGATAAGAAGAATCGTCGATGATGGCTTAAAGCAATATTTTGATGCAAAATCAAACATTTGATTTCACTTACAACACTAACAAAGGCACACAAGCTATAAAGAAAGATAAAAACAAAACATGAAAATGAACCTTGATGGAATAAAGAAAGAACAATTCATGATCAGTGGTAACCATCCTCCATAGCATCGATTTGCATATTCCACCAATTGCTTTCCATGCTTTATCCTGATATTTTCAATGATAGAAGACGTAACACATGAGCATTAGTAATAGTATCAATAACTGAGAGAGGATGCACAATTCAAAAATCAACCTTAGCATGTCTTCTTGCAAGAAGTTTCTTTTCTTGTTTCCTTACGTAGCATTCATCAGCTCCTCCATTTCATCGAGTAAGATATCATCTTCATCCTCGTCTTTTTTATCTTCACCATCCTTTTCAATAGAACGACTGGCCTTCTGAGATGAAGACGGGACCTTTCTTGTTTGCATCCGCCACCTAAATGACAGAAAAGATATAAAAACATTTCAATAAATGTATAGTAATTATATTTTTAAGGCAAAACAAGGAAACTAGAATACCAGGATATGCAAAAATGTTGTTTATTAGACGTCAATTACATGTCTTTTGAATATACCTGCATACGCCTGTTTCCTTTATGATAAATGGTATCAGAACACTAATAAGATTAGTTTCAGACCCAACCCTAACATATATAGGTAAAACATTTTATCCCATCCTAGAGACAACTTATAATAATGAATAACACTTGCTGCGCTCTGGAAATTTTTTCAAGTAAAAGAATAGAGAGTGCAGAAAATACATCTTTTTCATTTCCACATGCTTAAACTTCACTAATCACTTCAAATCATCATAAAGAGTTGAAACATAAAAAAAGGAGAGGGAGAGGAGGGAGACAGCACATAAATCTTACTTCAATATATGGTTGAAGTCTGGTTTTCCCAAAATACGCAGATCATCACAAAGATGTTTAACCTAGCCAGATGATAGTTCATTTAGTAGTTAAAACACATATGAAAATCCAAGGTATGAATTCATGGCCAAAAAACAAAGGAATACCTCTTCTGTGGTCAAATCATGATCACGCAAGGGTAAAGAAACCTTGTCATCAAAGGCTATGGAAGTAACTGAACCAAGGATCTCAAGAGGGCCATCTGACCAAATGAAATCAGCTGCTGAAGATAATTTTCTCACAATGGATGGATTCAGCCATAACATTACATGGAGCTATTTTCCAACAACTATTAAAGGACATTTAGGTGCATTCAATATTTCATCTCCATTTGCTCCAGCAAGAACATTTCATCTTCATTAAAATTCCTAAACTTAGGTGTATAATCAAAACGAAGAACTTATGCCATATCCTAAGTTGGGTTGTTTAATCTAAATGAACTTATGCCTTATCCTAAGTTGGGTAAATGCAGCAATTTCTTCAGTTACTAAAACTGGCATATTATTGTTCATCTGGCACCATGAAGAAATTCACGAACTTATGAGAAACCTTACCCATCACGATGCCGCTTCTACTTTGTTCCTCTGAGAACATCCACCACCTACACGATGGGCTTGTATGAACAGAATGCCAATCAAGGTACAACAGACAAATGAGATTGTTGAAAAGAGGTGGAACAAAAAAAAAAACACCATTCTTCTGGTATATCAAACAATTAACTTGTTTTGGGGTTCGATAGATCCTTTAAACAAATGCTTTGCATCAAGAAGATGAGGATCAATCTTAGCAGGAGCATAGTACCTTAAACCCAAAACGAATATTTCAGCAGATGCTGAACGACTTGCTGCTGGTTTATCCATCTCGACCTTCTCAAAAACTGGAGAGAGAAGAACAGATACAACGATTATTTAAACCATGTCACAGAGACGTAACAAGGATTTTCTGAAGAGATTTGAAACTCGCCTGATTAAGACGCAGATGACAGAACTACAGTCTTGGGACCTGGAAACCTAAAGCAACACAACAAACAAGCACTTAGCATGCACACACGGTAAACTGATGGGAAAAAATGAATAGAAAGTAAACTCCATACATTTTATGTTATCATGCATGGTTACTCATTATAACAAGACTATCCACGAAACATCGCAAACAGCAGAAAATCCCTCCTTTTTCTCCTCCAATTTTCTCAACAACGAAATGAATAACTACACAAAAAACTGAAGAAAAAAATAATTTAGTTAATCATCCATATGTCATTTTAGCTAATTATTCATCTTCAACAGAAGTAATCAAGCGAACCTCACAAATAGCTAAAGTTCTCTACTTCCTCTCCAGTTAAACTAACAACGAAACACAACATCAAAAACTAGAAACAGATTTTAGCCTCTAATTTTCTCGGCAACCAGGTATATATAATTGCTAACTAAACACGTAGCTCGCGGCGTATAAAAGGTGAAGTTTTTCTTTAAGAGCAAGCAACCTAAGAGTATCTAAAACTTTTAATTTTTTTTAGACAAACATTGGTAAAATAGTTTGTACCACCAGATTTTATATATATATATATATATAAACTCATTGAAGTATATATGCAGCTAATTAAACAACTCAATAATTATTATGTAAATTATGAAAAACAATTATCAACAATAAACAACAATAAAATTGAAAAAATCAAGTTAAAAATAAAAGATTAAAATATCTCACATCGCAACACACAACACAGATAATTTATATTGTCATGTTTATTAAATTTTTTTATTAAAATAAATTTATAATAGAAAAATATATAAAATTTGTAATAGAAATCAACACATATATAAAATTTGTTAAATAATAATTATATATAAAAAAAACAATGTAAAGTTGCACATAATACATAAAATTTATTGAACAATAATTTAAAAAAAAAAAAACAATGCAAAGCTGCACATATGAAAAATCTTATTAAAAATCAATATTTAAAAAAACAATTTATATAAAATTTAAAAAAAAAAACCATATGAATCATAGTCACCTCTCTAAAAATTAAACACGCTCAATATCATTTAAAAATAATCACAATCTAATTAAAACATAAACCAAAAATTTATTTGAAAAAAATATACACAAATAATACATTATTTTAAGAAAAACAAAAAAATATAAAACAAAAACAAGTTAGGAATTTGTAGGCCAAGTAATTCACACTCAGCGCCTAGCCTAATAAAACAACAATTCGTGCTTAGGCCTACAATGCTAAGCCCAAACACGGCCTTTTTAAAAAAGAAGTTTAAGCCCTAAATATTTCAAAAAAAAATAGCCCAACTTAAAATTGGGCTACTATGGTGGCTAAAAAAGGGATTTGATATTTTTTTCACCCAAAAATTTTATTTTCAATTCATTTTCTACTTATAATATAGAAAACATCCTACAAACCTTATCAAACTAATCTGTATCTATTAAAAAACTGTCCTAGAACCTGAAATTCACTAGAAATAAAAATTTTTCTCGAGCTCAAATATATTGTTTTAGGTGTTTTCAAGATAATAATATGAAAAAATCTAAACGTAACACCCCCTTCATCATATAGAATTTTTTTATAAAAAAATTAATCGTTTCGATAGCTGAAATTACCCTTAACAACCATTTTTTCTGGAATACAGTAACTCCCTTTCTCTCCTCCCAACATAAAATGATTGTAAAAGAAAAAATATAAAGTTAAACACCAAAATATATTAATGTCTTCAAGGAGCCAATTACTTTATACTGATTGTAAAAGAAAAAATATAAAGTTAAATACCAAAATATATTAATGTCTTGAAATTCAAGGAGCCAGTTACTTTATATTTAAAAAATATAAAGTATTAAAATAAATATTTTAACAAAACTTTTAATCTATCCTCCATATTATCTCAAATTTTCACTTTATAATATTTTAACAAAACTTTCAATCCACCCTCCATATTATCTCAAATTTTCACTTTAATCTTTTATCTTTCAATACAATCCTCTCTCCTAAAAAAATGCAATTAAAAGCTAATTTAAATTTAAAAAAATCAAATCATTAAAAATAAAAATTCAAAAACCACAATAAAAATTTTCAAAAATCGCAGGTGATTGACGCGTCATTTAAGAGCCTTGAACTTAGTTGCTAATCTAACAGCATCAATAGCATGAGAATTTTGAGTCATAGCCTATTGAGCCCAACCACCGCCAATATTAGGAGACCCATCATGTAAAACCAAATCAAAAGCTCTTACTCCCATAATTCTCTTAACCTTATCTCTACACCCAGGCTTAGTTATATCCTGTTCTATTGAGACCGCCCCATGTAAAGGCGCTATTTTCACTATAAATCGATGCCCAAAACAAGGCTTCCTAGAGGCACGCGCTCCGCCGCCACTTGCATCCATCCACCGGGTGCAGCACTAAGGTCGAGTGCGGCGCGTGAGGATTGGTGTCTGGTTGAACTAGTTTACATGAGGCACGGGATGGTAACCATGTTCTTCGGCTAATTTGTAAAATTTATCCAAACGATGCTTTCCCTTTACTCTTCGCATTGTGAGTTATGGGTTTGGGGGGGATTTTGAAGGGAGATTTCGGTTCTGAGAATTGCTGGTAAGAGTAAAGTGTTACAGAGGGGTGAGGGAGGAAGGTTTAAGGTAGGGTTTTCAAGGGTCCCTCTCTCCCTTCCAGAGAAACAAAAGTTGACAGAATTATATATGGATATATTTTAAGCCAACTGGATTCAAAGTCATGGCTTAGATTGTTAAGGAATGAGGTTTCATTAGATTGGGCTTGGACCATTTAACACGCCCATAGATTTAAGTCCTTGATCACTGGATTCAAGTCTCGTTGAAGAAACCAAAATGTCGGCAATCATGCGAATTTATTGATAAAACCAGAATGTCTGCCATTAAAAAAAGCCAAGGCAAAACTGGTATTTACATGTGTAAGTGCAAGTTAAGGCTCATCATGACATGAAGGCGTGCCCTTCGAGAAGAAAACGTTTAACGTCTACAAGGTTCCTCCATCTCGTCCTTGTCTTAGTGCCCCCATGAACCAACCAAGCTTTCAGGCCATGCAGGAAACATTGGTACTTGCAGGTGATTTCTTACCACTGTATCTCTGTCAGATCAAAAGGAAACCAAAATTTTTAATCTGATGTGCCAGTAATCCTACTACATGATAAGCTGTTCCAGATGCAAGTACTTGAAGCTCACCTGCTTTCCAATGTTGAATAGGATACACTTGTATCTGATCAAGTTTCTAATTTCGCACCCCATTGTAACGACAAAAAGAAGAGTCCAGGAACAGAGCAATACAGACCAAACGACAGGAACATCAAACACTGGAAAGAATGTCATCGCAAAAGCGATGATGAATGCTCTTGTGAAGGAGTACCTAGATACATGACAGCAAAAGCAATAGATTATTTTCAGGAACAGATATATCCATGATGGATCCGCAAAAGCAGCCCTATGGTGCTGGGGAAAGTGTTCGGGTGGTAATTTACCCGGTCAAACAAACTACCATAGTTCACTAGCTCCCTAACTACTTGATTCTTGAAAGCAATCTAGAATCTGTATGAAACTATGAGAACCTCCAACATTCAACATTTTTCCTGCCGACTGACTGAGTAAAATATAAAACTAAGAGAGAATATTTTATGATCGAATTATTAAATGTCTACTTGAAATCGTTTATCAGGTTATAGATAACGGTGGAAGGAATTACTCGATAATTAATATCAACACGATGAAAATAACAAAAAGACTAAATACCGTAATGGCACATAGATACTTCATTACCAGAATTTGAACTCTGGAAGCCGGCGGATGAGTGGCTTGAATTCATCGGAACAACTTGTCGGAAGCAAAGGACCATCTGCATGTTCATGTTCAGGATCAACCAGAAGTGACAAAAACCCACTTAGCAAATTCACTATGTATACCCCGAGCCCATAAACAATGATGTAAAACCCTCGAACGTAATAAAGTCGTGAACAATAGACAGCCACTATAACAAGAGTCCCAATCCACCTATAGACAGCATGAGGTGTAGCCTTATCCAGATAAAATCTATACATCCTCCATGCATCATGTTCCCATCGAGCAACAGGTGACACCACTGAGGCATTCTCATCCCCAAATCCTTCCATTAGGTTTGATCTTCACACCTGCAGATTTTACAGTCTAGAACCAATCAAACCAGCAAACAAACAGGTAGAAATGCACAAGATACAACAAATACCAACATGTACACCAATGTATGCTTCTGAATAACAAATCCGCATATTCAAAGATAATCAAACAAGCATTATAAAGCAGAAAAAAACATGTCCCTGGATATACACGTACCAGGATCGTGGAAATGCTTTAATGGCTATATAAACTTGCAAGTGAAAAATATTCTTTCAATTCAAGCTTCACATTCAATGTAAATGTTCCAAATTCATGGAAATATCAATTTCAAGAATCAAAAACCTTCAGGCATGCTCTCCACTTTCCAATCTAATCCACCTTTCACACCCATTTATTTGAAAACAAGAAGGCACGAATATCTATAGAATCACACAAACGCACCAAAATATACTAAAGAAAAAATCCTTTAAAGATCAATATTTAACCAGTGACACAGAAACCCAGATGACAAATATATGCAACTATGCAAGGAACATAAAAGCAACCAATAGCCCAAAAATCTTTCACTTACCACCTTCCAGGGACCGAAATGTAGTTACTAAGCTCCGCTGAAGTAACTAAAATATATAAAAAAAAAAATGAACACAATATCCCAATCAATCTAGTCAGAGTTTTGGAATCAAGAAACAAAGAAAATCCCCAAAATGTAAATGCCTAAGCAGAAAAAAGGACGTAAAAGAAGGGAAATCGGTCCAAATTGTCAGGAAAATATGGAGAGCAGAGGTTAACCTCGAATATACTTTGTTTTGGCGTTTGTTATGCAATGCAACAAAATCTTGTTTTCTTATGTGAATCTACTTTCTTTCAAGAATTGTAACACCTGATACTCGCGCAATTATAACCACCCAAAGCGTGCGCAAAGATGCGTTGTTAGAATTTTCTGTACAGAAAGGTTATTGTATAAATTCCATATTCTCTACAGAAAATTCCGTCAATGCATCTTTCCAAGTCTTGTTTTCTTCTGTTAATATCTTGGAAGAATATTTTGATGGGTTTTTAGAGGGTCACTGTCTCTTTGGTTAGAAAGCCAGAAGAAAGGAAGTGGCAGGTGAGAAGAGGCACAGAGCCTAGAGGTCTAAGGAGGGTTTTTTGTTTTCTTTCCTTGTCCTTTCGTCATTAAACTGATTTCACCGAATTGGGCCTGGCCGAGTAGTAATGTAACTCCAAAGATTTATATGCTATATGGTGGTGTCGAGACTCCATAGTCTTGGATTCATTGACAAAGATCTCAAAATGTTGGGCAACTTCAACCAATGAACATAGGGCTGGCAGAGGTGCCTAATCTCCACCCTCGCCATGATAAAGGGCTCAAGGGTGAGGGGGTAGATGAATTCAAAGCCGAACCTACGTCCCGGATAGGCGACAGACTCCTAGGTGCATGCACTGAGCTGAGATTGAAAGAGGCAGCTGGAAAAGGACAAAACATTTAATTCCTTGCATGAGGAAATGAATTCAACCATAAGCAAAGATTGATGGATCTTGCAGGCCAGTCAAGGCTATCAAAATAAGAGAGGATATACCAACACATTTTACGTATTAACGCAAGTACGGAAGAAATCTCAGCATCACCCAATGCGATTCGTTCCAAATATACCAGTTGGAACACGCGCTTGACCCAGAAAAAAAAAATATATGATAAACCATTCGAATTTAAAGTTAACTTGAAACAGCGTCGTCCACTACTATCTGTCTGTCATAACTTCCAGTACTACAGAAGCATGCACTAATGGCTACAGTGCCACTTTTCATGACTACCATAGAGCGAACTAATACAACGGAATCAAGCACTTTACAAAGACAATATTCATTCTCAGAATCGTAAATGAACCTTCTTCGTTCTATATAAACAATAAAGTTTCACTTCTGCAACATCAGCACTCTGCCATCATAAAATGCCAAGGCACAATTGAACTTTAGGTTCGTAAGTGCATATTAAAGTCCATCACAACATGAAGGCATGTCCCTTAAAAAGGAAAAATCAATTGTCATGAATCTTCATGTCTAAATGTTTCCTTCCATCTGGTCCTTCTCTAGTTGCCTATCAACCAGCCAAGCTTTAGTCCCCGCGGGAGCCACTACTACTTGCAGAAGATTTCTTACCACCATACTTCTGTTAAATACCAAAGAAACCAGAATGTTATCTCACATAAGCAGTCCTACTATAAGAAAGGAAGTTACAGCAACCACAGTTATTGGATGTGTGAATATAAGGTGGATGCGTGGAAGAGAAAAATAGAGGTGTAAAGCACTCGGAAACTCACCTGTTTTCCTAAACTGAATGGAATATATTTGTATTTGATCATATGCGCAATTTGGCGCCTCATTGTAAGGACAAAAAGAACAATCCAGTAACAGAGCAAAATAGGCCAAAAGACAGGAACATCAAACATGGAAAAGAAGGTCATAACAAATGCGATGACGAATGCCTTCGTGAAGGAGTACCTGAACGTAATGGCAGAAACAGCAGGTTATTGGCATGCATAGATGCATCAAAGATGGATCTTCAAAAGCAGACCTAAGTAGTTGAGAAAAGGCTTGGGATAGAGAAACATCTGGACTTAACCAAACAAACAACTAAAAATATCTAGCTTTCCAACCACTTAATTCGTAAAAGCAAACGAGAATCTGCAAGAACTATGACAACCACCAATGCATCTTGCCAAGTGTCCAAGTGAATCACTCATGACTTCATGGGAATCATTTATCAGGTTATAAGGATCAACGGAAGCAATTACTCAACAGAACAACTGAAATGATAAGCATACCAACAGCATGGGGGTAATTACAAGATTAAATGCCACGATTGGCAAAATTGTTTTCATTACCAGAATTTAAACTCAGGAAGTCGGCGAATGAAGGGCTTGAATTCATCAGAACCCTTTGTCGGCAGCGAAGGACCATCTGAAGGATCAATTTCAGGATCAACCAGTGGTGACAAAAACCCAATTAGCAAATTCAGTATGTATATTCCAAGCCCATAGGCAATGATGTAAAACCCTTGAACATAACAAACTCGCAAGCAGTAGATAGCCACTGCAACAAGAGTGCCAATCCACCTGTAGACCGTATGAGGTGTGCTCTTATCAAGATAATACTGATAAATCCTCCAAACATCATGTCCCCATTGTGCAACAGGCGATGCAACCGAGGCACCCTCAGCCCCAACTCCCTCCATCCAATTTAATCTTCACAATCCTGCTGATTTGATAATACAAAACAAATTAAACCAACAACACACACAAACTCATTAAAAAAAGGAAGAAAATGCAACCAATACCACTGCCCCTATCTACATTGTATACAACCATGCTTCATTTCAACTGTAAAAGCATGAACTTGCTTCCTTTTGATCAATACCCATTCAATTTCACGAATCATAATCTGGATAAGTAATCGATTTCCAATCACCATAGAAAAAGGAAGAAAAAAATAGCATGAATCTTCTCAATTGTTACCAAAATCTCATGAAATGAAGCAAAATGTAAACTGCAAAACCTGTAAATATTTGCCAAACTTATGTTCAAAAAGAAAAGAAACAGATTTACAAGAGCCCACATGCCAAAATGGATGCAAGAAACATAAAAACTATCCAACACGCACAAAACACTTCACTTTCCCCATTTTTATGAACCCAGACTGTGTAAAAAATGAAAATCTAACAAATTTGAAAGAAGCCCAGATGATAAATGCACAAAAATGCAGTTAATAAGCTTCATCTAAGCAACCAAAAAAAACAAACAGTACAAGATCTATGCAATCAAGAAACAAAGAAATACTCTCAAGAACCTCAAAAAATACAAGAAACAGATCTATAATTAACAGAGCATAAAAATCAAGAACCATAAGCTTACGAGCTGATTGGATGGTAACAGATATGGGATTAAAGGCAGCAAAGAATCAGAAAGTAAAGGTAAAAGAAAATCAAGTAAAAATAATGAGAGAAAAAAGTGTAAGGGGAAAGAAATTAAAAAAATCGATTGTGACAGTAAAGAAAATGAAGAGAAGAGAAGCTGACCTTAAATGGACTTCTGTTTTATGGATGGCCGAGGACTGTGAGAGATAGCGGAGGAGGAACAAAAGGCAATATTTGGAGGCGAAATATGAGCAGATCGAACAGTGAGAACCAGTGCCTGCTTGCAGGGATAGGTTTGGTATTTCCCTAGTTTTTTGTCTTTATTTCTGAATTTCCATTTAAAAAAAAAATACAAGAAACGAAGAGACAAGAGAGGATTGAGTGAGGGCAGTCAAGGGTGTTTGAAAGATTAGCAGTGGTGGCAAGGAGAATCTGTGGGGGGACACACCAGAATTCTCTTCAAGAGACATTAATGAGTGGATTGAACAATAACTTGGTGTAACAATTAAAATTGGTTAAAAGAATAAAGGACTGAATTGTTATTTTAAGAATGATTGTTGTTAGAATCAAGTTTAGAAACATGAATAAAAATTATATAAGTGAGGAAATTGTACAAATTTGCATTAAGTGATGAAATTAGATAAATTTGATGAATTAATGGGGTTTAATTAAACTAAATATAATTGTATTTATGAAAATAGTAATAATCTTAGTTATAATAGATGAATCATAGTGAAAAAAAATGATTTATAAGAAGGGAAGTGGAGAATAAATTGGTAATTTAAAGTACAAATGATAAATGATAGTAATATTATGATAATTTACATAATCACTTGAGAAAAAAATAACTAATTATAAGAATGAATGTTATTGTTGGTATAGATTAATTACCAGAAAATAGTAATTGATGATATTAAAAATATTGATGTAGGCTTAAATTAATTAGTCACTTGAGAAAGAAAATGACAAATGATAAAGATGAAAATCATTCTTAACATGGATTAATTATCATGCAAGGTAATTAATGATATCAAAGTTATTAATATCAGCATAAATTAGATATTTAAAAAAAAAGTGACTAATAATAATGATAAATATCATTTTTAACATAAATTAATTATCAAGTAATAATAATTAATAATATCACAAATATTGAAACCAATATAGATTGAGTTGTCATTTAAGGGATGGAAAAGTTAATAATTATAAATATATTTGCTGATATGGTAAACCACCAATTCAAATCATAAAAAATATTATGAATATTTGTTATTAATAATCAAAAGATAATAAAACGGATTTTTGTTGTGTTTCAATGATAAAAGAGACATTGATGTATATTAATGCCTATATTACTTAATCAACACAAGAAATTACAATCATGATATTAAATATCTTCTTAAAGCAACCATTATATCTTATTAATTATATGTTTATACACATGTTTTATATTACAAGTTCTTTCCAAACTTGTCCATATTAGTGTGGATTATGCTTGCAGTTTCTTTCTTGCTATAGTTTACGGAGTGATACAAGTCCTTTTTTTATTAATGTATTAAGATATAAAATGATATAAAATGTTGAATTTATGAATAACTTTCTAGTTTATTTTTCATGGCATGTAATTTAATTAGTTGAAACTTTTAATTAGATGGAATGTGATGCTTTTATATTTCCTTTAATTATATAGTTATAATTTCTATAATTCCATAAGATAATTAGCAATACATTATAGATATTTGTGATATATAATAGGTACAAGGAGTAACTGTAAATGAATATAATTAAATGTGTGGGATGATTATTGACAAGATGTTCATATTGACTGGATTATGTGATAAAAAGAGTGTTTGACATGGGAATTGATGATATCAATAACTTGATAACATTATCAAATAGAGGAAATGCTTCCAAGATTTACAAAAAAAAAATTATAAAGATTTTATTAATTACGAGCATGTTGAATATAAAAAATGAGATAAAAATTAAGAATGTTACACTTATAGTTTATATTTTTTTTTATATATATAGTCATGAATTCTGATATAATTTTGTTGGGTGATAAAGTAAAGTGATCAGAGTAAATATTTGTTACATGTAGTTTTAAATTACCCAAGAATCATAAATCCTGGGAAATATTATTCCCTTATACCTTGTGGACTAAAACTCATATGCATTATGGATTTACTATACCCATGAGTTTTTATATTATTTTTTTTTAATTTTATCTTTTAAAAACCTAATTGGAGGCTAATATAACTAAAATTAATTAATAAAATTAAAAAACAAAAGACTAAAATAAAACAGGCGAAGAAGATGAGTGGTGTTTTAGATATATTTTTTTAAAATTTTAAACTTAGTCCTAATTATAATAATTCTCCCTGGAATTTTTTGAAGTTTTTTTTAAAAAAATTAATTTTAATCAAAAACTTTATTTTTCCTTTTTTTTCTTGGGTTGAGAGAGAAAAAAGAAAGTTGTTGGTTTTCAATAATAGAGAAAAAAATATTGTTAATACTGGTTTCGACCAATAAAATAATTAATTTTTGTATTAAATAGTTTTATAAAACGAGAAAAGCTCAACTTAGGTTTTTTTTTTTTTACCTTGAAAATACATAAAACACACACACGAGCTCAAAAAAATTTCTAATTTCTGGTTGATTTCATGTTTTAGGTGGTTTTTTAAGCCAATGAATCCATTTAATAAGATTTCTAGAGTATTTTCTAGGTATTTAAGTAAAAAATAAATTAAAAAATAAATTTATGGGTCAAAGAACATTTGACCTTGATTTTAGACGACATGTTATATAATTTAATTTGTTTTCAAAATAATAAGACAAACAAAATGTTACTTGTCCTATTTGCAATAAAAAAAAAAATCAAGGGTATAAACACGCAAGCTCTTACTAAATAAGTCGGTGAGCTGGTTTGGCTTGCCACACCAAACAATGACTGATTTTTTTTATGTAATTATTTTTTATGTGTTTTTTAAATTATTTTTATTTTTATTTATTAAAATCACTTTTCTTTTTTATTTTATTTATATATCTTTTTTTAAATGATGATTATTTTTTTAGTTATTTTGTATGCTTTTGTTTTTTTAAATAATTATTCTAATTTATCTATAGTCTTGTTTTATGTTTTATATGAATAAAAAATATTTATTTTTAGATAATATTTCTAATATTCTTAACCTTATATAACATTTTTTTTATTTTATTAAATGAATTTCATCATATATATCATTTAATTAAATAAAAATTTAATTTTTATAAACAAAGTTATCTAACATAATTAAATCAAAAACAGGTATTACAAGGTTAGATAACTTGATTACTATATGTTTATCGATTTTTTTATTTTTATTTTTATTTACTATCAATGATTTTTTTATCTTTTTACAATTTTTTTATTTAATTTATTTAATCAAGTACATGTATAAATTTTTTTATTTTATACTTATAATTTTTTTATGTATAAATACGCATGAAAAAGCTTATATATACTATTTTTTTATTAAAAAAATTCTGATCATCAGCGAGCACGGGTAAAATAAATAAATAAAAGAAGTGAAAAGCTGAGTCCTAGAGCACTCTAATAAACGGAGAAGGGACCAGAGTTTGACTGGGGGCACCTTGCATAAACAGAGCTGAGTCATTCAAGCCCATTAATGGTGGTGCCAGGGCGAGCTATAGGCCCAACACGTAGGCCGTTTTTGCAAAGAAAAGAATGGCTTTTAAGCTGTCTACAATCCCAGTATCAAAAGCAGAACACTCACTGGTGATTTTTGAAATTTTATATGTTCTAATGAGTTTTAGAAGCAGAAAGACGTGTTTACCCTAGTTGTTTTCTTTGTTTTGCATGAGCATAGTCAGATTTTCAAACATTTTTCATGTTATTAGCGGCTTGTTTGGAATTGTGATTGAGATTGTTTTTTAAAATATTTTTTTATTTAAAAATATATTAAATCTTTAATATTAAGATAATTCAGAAATGAATGAATTTTTTTTATAAAAAAAATCAATAGTTACTAATCTTTAATATTAAGATAATTCAGAAATGCATGAATTTTTTTTTATATATAAAAAAATCAATAGTTACCGGAAATCCAGTGCAAAATCAGATACACTAAAAAGGCACTAGATGACAGCAGTGGAGGCAATCATTTTAGCAAAGCGCCAACAAATTCATTTCCTTTCACAGGACCAGTAAATGTAGTGGGATGGACACAACTTGTGATTTGAAGCGGTCTTTTCACGCCTCAACCAAATAAGCTTCCCCACTTAAATAATTAAGTTACTCTTTATTTCTCTTTATGCTTTAAAAATATTTTTAAAAATATTTCAATATTTTTATTTTTATTTTAAATTAATAGTTTTTTAAATATATGGTTCTTCCAGCAAATTAAATTTTTTAAAATCAACAAACGTGGAAACATTATGATTTATCTTTTAAGAGATTTGAAGCTGGTATTTTTCACAGCCTTTTTCTGTTTATGATTTCAGAGAAAATAAAAGGTTAAATATCAGCTCTAAAAAGGGTCTGGAAGAGCCATTAAAGGGAATTTAGAACAGTGGATGAATTTCTGAAGGGGGGAAAAAACAAGGAATTTAGTAGGGTCTTGCATTGCTGGATTTATGTGACTGCCAATATTGGTGAATTTATTATATTATTAAAAATATCGGTGAATTTATTATAATGTTAAAAACAGGAAATTTAGTACAAGCTAATTGCGATTACAAACAATTGACTTTAAAATTAAATTTTAATTACAATGATAAACAAATCACTGCAGGACACATAATCAATTATAGTGATGATAAATATAAATATGATATATCTAAATTGAAATTGAAAAAAGAGAGAAGAAATATATCTGTAGACTGTTTTTCATACCCGCGGGCTCGAGTGGTGCTCAGCTTGTACGGGTTTTTGTTTTTTCTACCTTTCTGGTTTGAATCTAAAACCATAAGCTTACTTAAAATAATAATGATATCAGTGCGAATCAATTGAATTACATTAAGATTAGCATTATCTTGTAATTAGGCATTAGATAAGACTAGCATACTATCATGCGCTATGTCACGGATCAAAATAATTTTTATTTTTCAAAATTTAAATATTGCTAATTTGTATTTTAAAATAAAAATATATTTTAACTATAAATTTAAAATTAATTGCATAATAAATGGTATTTTTATCTAATATAAAAATAAAAACACATTAGTTCTATTTAGATCAACCCGGTTGTCTTGTGGTGCGAAACTTGTAAAAATAATCTTGAAAAAAATAAATTATAAAGTTAAATATCTAATTTATTCAATGTTAAATAATAAAATTAGTAAAAAAATTATTTTTTTTTAAAAAAAACAAGTGAACTTAAATGAACCAACCAAACTCTT